CGATATTTCTTATAATCACTTGCCAAGCGAAAAAAGGCGACGTGGTGTGCTTTCGGGCATGAACCCGAGCTGTTCCTGGGAGATCGGGACCAGCTTACGCAGCCTCGAGTCGACCAGGCGAACTTCATGATATGCGCAGTCAAATATCCCCGCGGTAGTTGAGCAGTCCATCGCGTCGCCCCTCTGTTTGAAGATGGAAACGATAGTACTTGTTCTCCAGGCATCCGGTATGCTTCCTTCGGCAGCCACCGAGTTCAGAAGTGGTGAGCCAGCTCACCCCTGCTCTCGAAAGCATCTTTCAGCCTTTATGGTAATCCATCTGAACCAAGCGCCCTTCCAACTTTCATCCTCTCAAGTGCACACCGGAACCTTATCCCTGTCTAGAGTGCGACTGACAGCTGCGGCTCTGCTCGTGAGTTGTTCTTGTGATGGAACTCCTCGTTCAAAAGACCTCTAAGTACTCTCCCTACTCCTCCGGACTTCGTCTGGTTTGCTCAAGATGGTACCGTTACTGGCTCTCCAAGTTCTTCCAACCCTAATGTTCTCGGTAGCCTGATACGGCGCTTGTGGCCAATCTGAAGACGAACTTTTCTGCGTTTCTCTCTGAGCCTCTTGCAACTTCTTGTAGGTAGCGAGGTCCTCGAAGCGCCGGATTTTCTGCCAACGTTTGTATGCTTCCTTCTTCTGCTTTTTACGAATGGTTCAGTGCCACGCGGGTTGATTACAGTAAGTTTCACGGTCGAGACCACCGATTCCAATTCGTCACACTCGTAAACTCCACGATTTATTGATGCAAGGCGCACAATCACAAACTTGGGTAGTAAACGATAATATACCTTTAAGTAATAAAATCGCCAACGAACGAAAAAACAATCTCCGACATAAATGACCAAAATTCCAAAGAAAAAGCATCGAAATGAAGAGATAAGAGAACGGGATTCTGGGGAGATTCAGACGCGAGTCACACCTTCCATATGAAGATAAATCTTAGGCGAATGGCGCACACTAAAGAAGGGGGAAAGCGGGCGCACGTCGGTCGCAGTTTCCACCGCTTGAAGGCGAACTGAGGCATTCACAAGGCGGAGGCGCGTGGGTTGCAACTTGGAATTCTTCCTGCTCTACCGTATCTATATGTACTGTTTATTCTCTAAAAGATATCTGTTAGTGATAAGCTGAGCTATAGCTGCATTTCTCATGCATTCCATGTTTTCCATATCGCATGATTCACGAGGAATGGTAAACCTGTGGGATTGCGTGGGAATCGCGATACCCCGCGCGAAAAGTGCAAGAAGAAGTCGCGCCAAGAATCTGGGGGAAGCAGGTGTATATCATTTCATTCTGAGCGCACTCTGAAGTTAAGCTTCGCGAATTTCAGGGGCGAATTCCGAAAAGGGCAAATTTCCGTCAAAGGTCCTCCATGTTGGCGATACTCTTCTCCGGCCTTCGTAAGCTCTGTTCAGACGCGCACGAATTTGATCACAGTACTCTGTGTAGTCGCACAGTGCACTGTGAGACCGCGATTACAGCAATAGAAAGCAGAGGCAAAGGGACGTCTCGAACAGATTAGCTCGAGACACCCGTTTGCACCTACTGTTCGTCCGTTTAACTCCAATGTCGCGCACAACAGTGCAGGAATCTGATAGTGGGATCCTGTGGCTTGCAGAAGGCGCATCTCATATGACGCTCACGAGCTTTATTAATGAACCATAATCAAACCGCCTAGGGGCAAATGTACCGTTATCTAGCTGGTACAAAATTTCTTTCGAAGTTACGTAGCGCTTGCTGGGCACTGTTAAGCTGTTGCTCAATCTCATACCCATTTGTCCTTCGTGTTCGGTCGTTGGAGCGTCTTTCGTGTCACTGTCTCTCATGAATATGTCCTCGTCGCACCCTCATTATCTGCCTCAAAATTTCCTCCTCGTCGGGCTCCTTCGACTTCTGCTCCAACGAATTCTTCTCGCCGTCTGCTTCTTATTCCGTCTCGACATCTTACTCATCAACTCCTTCCATAAAAGTGTGCATTGCCCCTCGTAATATCATTTTCCTTCAACGAACTCCCTCGATACCTCGTCGCCGCTTCCCATGATGTAAAACATTAAGTTGCAGATGGAACGCGGCTTGGGAGAGGGTTTCGGTCTTTATTGTACTCATTACGGAGTTTTTTGATTACGTGATAAGTTGCTCAAGGTAGGCGAGCTTATTGCGGATTTCCCTATCGAATGTAAGGGCATCTTTTGTCTTTCGCAGTTTGGGCTTCCATGCACGTACTAAAGGGTGGAATGGAGAGAGCTAAGCGTTTGCAGTGGTCAGAAATGGAGTGTTCTATCATAGGTAAATCCATCAAAAGCGTCATAAGCTGTCGTTTATCTCCTGTGTGTGGCGCATTAGGGATTCCCTAGAATTCTCGTGACATCTTTCGCTAACGGCAATGAGTAACGAGGAAACTGAATAAAAGAGTCGCAAGATTGTGATCACAGTAAAGAAACTGAAGACGCAGGTGGATCAACTTCTAAATTCAACAACTCAATCTCAAGATACGTTGCCTGAAAAGCTTAGAGTAGAGGCATGATTGACGGAGTTTCTTTTCCAAAACAGTGACAGCTTGTGTGCAAGTATTTATAATGATCGAAACACAATGATACATTGGCTATCATACAGCTGTTTGTGATTCTGGAAGGCGGAATGGCTTTTCGCAGCTGTTGAAGATCGCCTGGTGCACAGGACGAAGTTCGTGCTCACGGTATCAAAAGTTACCATGTTCTGAAAAACGCACTAAAGTGATGGATTTTTTTTCGGAAAGGCGCACTTAAATCAAGTACCCTCATGTGCATATTCGTTAATATTTTTTTTCTTTCTGGCGCACACTACGTGTGCTTACAGATGTTGGTGATGAATCTAAAGAAATAAAGTCATTCTAAATCATTTATGAAGTAATATCTGGTTATGAGTGGACTAAGCCCCCTTTTTAAGGGCGCATGTGGAGTGCTTGTTTTTTGGTGAGGTTATATGCCAGGATGGATAATGATACGAAGAGGTAAGGTAGTTAGACTCGCAAATGATGCCCAGCATCGACTTAAGGAGGAGGCAATCCTATAAGCAGTGGGAAATATGTAAATTAGGAAGATTGATAGCGCAATTGTACGAGGACCATAAGTAAGCTTTTGTACCATAAAGAAAAACGTCAAAAAATATGTCCAAAAGTCGGGCCATGAAGACTCATGGTAGTTGCTTACTGCTGCCTTGTAGTTAGAACAGCAAGGGTACTGTAGTGTTGACATACTTCAGGATGCCTGTCTAGCTTGGAGGGGTGCTTAAGGGTACCACAAAAGAAATAGTGCAGTCTAAAATCTGGCTCGCGGGATCCCAATGGAATCGTGAAGGTGTCAGTGGACTGCTAGGTGCACTGATGACAAAGGACTGAGAGGCGCACAAACTTTTCCATGAGCTTCCTTCGGTGATGTACACTTCACGCTCGGGATGGCGCCTTTCGCACAATTATAGCAGCCATTCAATGAGGTGTTTTCGATAGTGCAGCTTAGATTCTGTGCTTCTAGCAGAGTTAGTTCTACCGTTCTGTGAAAGTTGATGAGAATTTCCGAAGATACCGGCTCGGGATTTTTGCTGTAAGTGCGGCATTTTCGCCCATTTTAGTTCCCAAGAGGGACTAGAGGCAGTTTAAGTTCGATGTGACTGAGCTCTTCTGACGTCCAAAGGAGGACATTCACATCGAACTTTTGTTTCAGCAGGTGCACATTTACAGTTTTCTGCGAAGGTGCAGTTCAACGTTTCCGCCGCTTCCTGATTTTCGCAGAAAAGATTTGGGATTATCTTTCTCGTATAGATGGCCGTATCTGTGCCATCAGTGATAAAGTCATTGCTCAATTGTGGCATAGGGGGTATCGTGAGGGATGTCATGGTGATTTTTAGGGATGGAAGATCTATTGGAACGTTGGGAAGGAGTCCTGCTATGTACCACTCTCGACCCGGGTTTGTGTTGGCAGTTTCAACTAACACTTCTAACTTTACCTCCTCCGCCCAGCGCAAGCAACGGAATATTCTATAAATCTTTGTGCTTTTTGGTTTTGCGTACAGCCGGAAAAAGAGACAGCCTGAGCTAAGTGATCCACATAGGCATCCAAAACCCCGCAGGATTCATAGCAATCCGTTCGCCCAGGATATGAGTTACCGATTTGGAGTTCCGGAATAAGACTAGTGCTATTTATGCTGGCGCGCTTATCCCCTGAACATGATCCTCGGTAAGGACAACGTTTGCTGTCAGTAACGTGAACATCCATTTAATCTTGACATTTGCGACGAGAGAAGAGTTGTAGATTAGGCGCAAGCAGGCGTGTTGTGTGAAGCTATTAAAGTTCAATACCTCTGTTAGCTTAACTGAGCAAGATTCTCAGCAAGATTGTTGGTACAGATTGTGGCATGATGTTGCAATACGTTAACCTCCTGCCAGGACAACGCAGGGGCTGCAGCATATGCTAATAACGTTATCACTATGGCAAGTGCCGCCGCTAACCGGGAGTTCAAGGAAGATCGAGAGCGTGTCCTGAATTTACGTAAAAGACTTAGACAACCGTGGTGCCCGAGGTAAATTGAATTTTTGAGCAGCAAGAACAGTCCAGTGAACAGGAGGCGCAACGGTTTTCCAACAGTTACCGGTACATACAGGAATGCATAGAGCAGGGCAATGATTCCATAAAGGCCTAGAGCGAATATGAAAATTGCTTCCATTGGCCGACACTCTGAAAGAAAACGGAGGTGCATGCTCAGCAGTCTATGTTTGCGCAAAAATCTATTCCTTCGCATAGCGTTTCGATAGCTGCAAGCTCTTGATTTACGTGCCATTTGAGTATGACGTTGTGATCATGCAATGTCACTTCTGGTGGGAAGCGTATAAGTTTTGGCTCATCGATGAAATGCCCAATTTTGCAGACCGTATCGGCGCAAATTTCAAAAACTTGTGGTTCGGTTGAATTTATTATGACGCCTTCTTCAGTACAGGATAGTTGCATCGCCGTTGAGTAGTTACCAAGCGTAGTTCGGAATAAGGAAAGGATCATAATGTAGAAAAGGAACCACTTTGACATTTTGAGGTTTGTACTGGAATGGGTTGTGAAGGTGTGAGCGTTATTTTGAACATAACTTCTTGGTTGACGATGACGTAAATTATATCGGTGGGTATTCGTTAGTTCGCGACTCTCAGGCGTGACTGGTTTATTGGCTGCAATGTGCGAGCTAGATGACTTATCTGGTGCTTCCTGAGTTTCTAAAAGACCTAATAGGTTTACGGGACGGCGAATTTTCTTTTTCTTAGTGGTCTGAAGTTCCACCTCTCGAATTTGTCCATCGTGTCCTTCTTTTGTGGCCGTTATGCGCGCCATTTTCCATTCATGCCTTGGAAGGACTATATCATGAACCAAAGCAATATCTCCTACTGTTGGTATATCACGTCCCAGTCTGCAAGCAGTTGGAAGGCGCTTTTGGATTTCCCTGTGGGCGGTCTATTGTTGTTACCATACTGTCCAAACTTTTCTGTTTCTTGTATGGATGACTGCAAGGCTCTTATCACTTGCTGGCAATATTGCAGGGAGTGACGCGCATCTGCGGGTAAGGAGGGTCATCGTTATCAATGGTCTCAATTTCGGGGAACGTTAGCACCATGTCCCGTTGCAGGAAATCTGCAGGGCGCACTGAAGCCAGATCTTCCTGCATGGATCCTTGATATGTAAGGGGTCTGGAATTCAAACATGCTTCAATTAGATTTGATGAGGCGCTCGTAGAACCCACCTTGCCAGGGCCCATATGGGTTTATATAATTCCATTTTATCCCTTTGTTAGCTATGACATGTTGCGAATCGTCATGCTGTTCTCGTGGACCATTTAAAATATTCGCACTCAAAATAAAGGTTGGTGCATTATCGCAGGTTAATGACTCTGGTACGCCTCTGCGAGCCACGAATCGTCTGAATGCGTTCAAAATTCTTCTGTGGCCATGCTGTGTACAACTTCCAGGTGAATAAGACGTGTAGTCGTGCATGTGAAAATGCATCCATAGATCTTTTGGGTAATTCCATTTTCCGTGCAAGGTGGTGGGACGAAGAAGTCCAACCCTGTGTGTTGGAATGGGTAGCTTCTCAAAACCCTTTGACTCGGCAGGTCTGGGGTGTTAGGGTAATGGTATGGTAATGCGTTAAACTTCCTACATGGGATGCAGTGAGTGGTCAGTTTCCAACCCTGTTGACGCAATTTGGGAATCCAATAGCGCTCCCTTACCGTGGCCATCGTATGTTCCACGCCTCTATGGAAATCTCCATGAGCTTCTTCTATAAGTCTTTGCGCAAGCTTTGTATTCGGCATGAAAAGACCGGATCCTTCGTATCTTGACGCAGTGCTGAATACTTAAGGCGTCCTCGTGAATGCCATATTCCTTGCTCGTCTTTGTATGGCTGCAGGGTGTTCTCCATTGACTTGCGGTACCTATTCCAGTCTAATAATTCAGTAGTAATAGTGCTTTCTTCAGAAATAGAAGTCGCGCGTAAAACATCTTGGGGTACTCTTTCCTCGCTGTTTGGATCCACTTCGAGTGTAGTTGGGTAGAATTTCACAGGCCAAGAGTTCACAGGTAATTTTAAGAACTGTGTTGCGAATCGGGGGCGCCCTGCACCAGGAATAGCTGGCGAGGAGTGCTGTGCGTACGTCTAAAGCAGCTCCTAAGTCGGTTCTTCCCTCCCCCTACATGGCCGTCTACGCCACGCTGCCTCCCAACTCCCAAGAGGCCCGCTGAACTATCCTAAGCCACTGCGCACTTGCTTCTAATCACTTCGAGCGCTGGCATCGTCTGGCTCACATCCTACTACCAACACATAAGAGACCTGTGTGTGTGAAATCACATTGCTACACTAACAGAACACCATAGTAATTAAAGTTTATATTACCTACTGAACTAAGCACAATTAGTTAAGATGTTAGTATTCCTTAGGTGAGCTAAGAACACGTCAAACCTCTCCGCCGATGGGGCATGTTGCCTACGTCGCCTGGTCCGGTTGGTCCGGGACCAGTTGTGGGAGTTTCTGCCTCGTCGTCCTGAGTCCGACGGAGTAGTGAATGATGAATATGTTCTAAGGGCTCGTGCCCTAAGTAGCAGCCACACCGGGACCAGCCTGGGCGACAGGGCCGATGTCTCTCCGAGAGCGGAACGGCGAGGCCGTTATGGACGTTAGTAGGGCCGGCTGAACTAGTTAGTTGGGCCGGCAGGGAGAGACGCACATACTGACGAGGTGGGAGCCGGTAGCAAGGCTACGGGCAAGGCAACCGCACAGACGATGTTGTAGAAAGTCGACTGGCTGTGCCATCATCGATGCCACTTAGGTGGCCGCGGTTTCCCGCATAATCGATGTATAGAGCAAAGGCAGGTGGTCAAGGTGGCTGACTACGGTAGGAACCAACACGCCCGGGGGAAAACCTTGGGGAGCGATCTCGCGATTCGCGACAAACTGTGGGCCAGTCCACCAGTCACTCTTGTCCAACTGTTCTCGATCCATCCCCTTCGTCCCATAGTCTGCTGGGTTTTCTGATGTGTGGACATACCCAAACATAACATGTACTCCTTTTTCCCGTAAACTGCCTACGATTCTTCGTATTTCGCGTAGTCGGTTCTCCACCAGAACCCCCGCATATGTGTGTTTCGGTGAGGAAAGCCAACCAAGTACGATTTGGGAATCGGAGAATACATAAATGGTCTTTGGAGAGGAATATTTCACCGACCTCAAAAATTGAATAATAGAGTTTACCAGGCAGCCATGGTGACCGCATTCATTTCAACTTTGGGCATAGTTGTTTTCATTTTTATGGAGGGCAGCTTACTCTTAGCCATGACTAGAGTGGATTCTTTTGAGGTAACAGGTAGGCGCACACCGCCAGCGCTATCTCACTTGCATCTGCGAATATGGCCAATTGCGCTTTGTCAAGATTGTTACTGAAGCGCCTTGGGAATGACCGATTGAACCTTTATATTTTTTACAATATTATCCCATACTTGGCGCAATTGAATGGGTAGTTCCACATCCCATTGTAACTTTTGCCTCCATAGATCTTGTTGAAACTTTTTCGCCGGAGTAATTAACGGGACTAGCCAGCCAAAAGGATCATATATGGAGGCTATCTGACGGGCCACTATTCTCTTTGTAATGGTCTCCGATGGAGGCAGAGAACAGCCAATAGTGAGGCAATCATTCTCGGCGTTCCATATGATACCCAGTACCTTTTCGGTGTAGGCGTAGCGCATGCTTCTTTCGGTAACTTATCGCGCAACGATGTATCATTAGAAGTAAATTCTCTTAAGTTCATTTCCATTTCGGAAAATATTTTTCGTGCCTTCAACGATTTTTGTAGAATCTCGTCCGGAGTTTCGCCCGAGAGGACAAGGTTGTCAACATACAAATTTCGTTGAATCTCGTTTGCTAACTCGACCACGGAGACGGCACAGCGTAGGCGGTGATGAATGGTTCCTCCTAATAAGTATGGCGAGACGTTCAAGCCAAAAGTTACTCGGGTAAAGCGATATATTATGATGTTATTATCATCCAAGGGCGCATTTATGTCCCTAACCCATAGGAATCGCGTAACGTCTTGATCAATTTCCTGCAGGTGCACTTGCAAAAATGCTTTTTCTACATCCGAAATAGCCACGTAAGGAGGAATTCGGAAGCGCAGTAATATGGCGTATAATTCTGGCAAAATTAGTGGACCTTGATGAAGTATATCATTTAACGACGGGCACTCTTTGAAATGTGCTCTAGCGTCAAAAACAATTCGCAGCTTTGTTGTTTCTTTTTGCGGAGTAACTACGGGTTGGTGTGGTATATAGTGAATCAAGGAACCCTCTTCTGAAGAACCATTAATGACCGGTTCGATAATACCCTTCTCCTCCTGAGTTGCGAGAATTTTGTTGTATTCTGCTAGGAGCTCGGGTGTCTTTTGAAGCATCAGAAGTACGGAGCGCAAGCGTTTCAGTGCAATCGTTCTGTTGGATGGCAGTGGAGGGTAATTCTTCTTGAAGGGGAAACGTATACAGGGGTGGCCAAAAAAAGAGAACTTAGCCCATGGCGCACATCATCGAACTTTTCGTCGCACAGGGAGCCGATGTTCATGACAGTTTTATGGCGGAATAATTCTTAGTTGTTCCTCCGTAAACAGAAGCAGCCCCCCCTTCATCGAACCCACCGTCTCCAGAGTATAACGTCATCTGCCGCCACCGTCGAGCTCAACGAGGTTCACCGTATTCGCTCCGTCCTGAAGCTGCTTCATAATTTCTCCAATGGATTAACTGTTGAATAGCTTCTCAGAAACATTAGCTGTAACTATGCAAAGCCGCTTTTGACTAGCTTTTCAAGGACGTCGTAATCGTCTATGGTGTCTCAACGACCCTGTTGAGCTCGTACCGTGCACAATGCTTCTGTGGGAAAATCTTCTGTTGTCGTCGGTGTAGAAGGCTGTTGTGTAGCTTGTTGATAGATTATAACGTGCTCTTCAATATTCAGTTGGGGTCAATTGGTTTGGTTTTGCGGCGCGTGAATAATTCCGTTTTGAATGTTGAGTGAAGTGTCTCTTTTTTTTGGCCACCCCTGTATAGTAACCGTCAGGGCACTTCTGTATGGTATCTTCAAAGAATTTTGAAACCTCCTCATTCACTGCATTCTTTTCTGCGTTTTTTGTGCCAGTAAACTCGCATATTCCCGCAGAATCCATAGTCCAATATTTATCCCACCTATCTATGTCTTCTTCGGAGTTAAGTTCCAAGTTGGTAAAATTGTTGATGGTGTTGGGTCGTCTGACGCTTTCTTCGACTACTTCTCCTGAGGTGCTCTTCATTTCGCCCACTATCTGCCTTCCAGTCAGCAGATAGCCAAATTTAGAAGGAATCAGATGAAGTCCTGATGGCAGGGTATAGTGTGGGTGCGATACATCCAATAGTTCCCATAGCCACGACCAATTAGGATTTGAGGCTTAGATATGCTCTCGTGGTGTGCTTTGGATAGAAGAATGTGTCGACTTTCAATAAAATTCAAGTCAGCAGGGGTGAGGCGTGCTCTTTTATTGGCCGTAGTGAGGACTGGAAGCGTGTGTAGGAGCATTTCGTGCTTAGCCCCATTTTTATCCCGTTGTTCCAGTGTTTTCCTGTTGCATACCACATGCTTAGGTTGTTGGGTGCCAAAGGTGTAAACATGGAAATTTTTTGTTGCTGTGCGAACAAGGCCTAGTTCGTCAGCCACTTCATCACTTATGAAGGACTCGTCTGCCCCCGATCAAGCAGAATTTCTACATCTTTCCATTGATTTCGTACGGTATCTCTTACTTGTGCTACTCCCGTCAGTAAGAAGACACTGCTACCCGTACGCTCCGGGTTACTCCATTGTTCTCGGGGGACGTCACAATCATGCGAAGAAGCAAGGACTGTACCCGCGTTGGGAGGAGTACCCACCGGTGGCTCTGACATTGCGGGACTTTCGAATGAATCGACTTCGAGTGTGGGCGCATTTGCTCGACTACGTTTCTTGATCCGTTGCTCTTCCACATTTCTAGACCACTTCCTTTGCTGGTCTGAAGGTATCCTGGATTCTGTCGAAGGGTTGGTCTTCTTAAATGGTGGTAATTGTTGGCGCGAGGTTGAGTGGTATCTTTGAACCCTCAAAGGACACAGGGTATGGTGATGTTTCTTCCCATTACAATTTCTACAACCCTCTCTGGACAACTGGTAAGAAAATGCCCAACTGTTCCACAGTTGAGGCAACGGTTGGTGCTCCGAAAGACTTTGCTACGCTCTTCTATAGTGGCGTATTTGGTGCATGTCAGAGACTTATGACTGGGAAAAATACAAAAAAGGCATGGCGCACCTACCATGTCGGCCTTCTGAGATGGCGCGTTAGCAATTCTTGTTGCATTAACTCTGTTATGGATGGGGTTTTTGTTCACCACATAGTTAATACGCTCTTCTGTGCTTATAATTTTGTCTAATCGGAAAGAATGTCACTTAGAACCCAAGAGTACTCTTGAGTGGAATCATTAATACACCGCTCAAGAACTTTCGCTGAAGATCCATTTTGAATATTGACAGCACTTTCTGACTCAAAAAGGAGCCATTTAAAAACACCCCTTTATCTCCTAATTGGGCTACTAGTGGCATCACAGTGTCAAGGAGGCGCCGCTGTTCTTCGAGGCTCAAATTTTCAGCGCAAGCGCGTTCAAGGCGCATCTGTAAGCTATCGATAAGGCGTGACTCATCACCATTCTTTTTGCGTAAGAAATCTACGGCTTTCTCATAGTTTGCTTCAGTCACGTTGAACCGGCGCACTGATTTTTTTGCGTCCCCTCGCAGAGCAGAAATCAAGTAGTTAAATTTCTGAAGGTTTGTGAGGGACTGATTATGAACGTTTGCTTCAAAGAGCGTCCAGAAATTTTCGAATTCCCAAATCTTCCCATGAATGTAGGGATAGGGATGGCAGGCAGTTTATGTACTGCAGGTTCCACCTGTGTTTGTGGCGCTCTAATGTGCAAGTTATTGGAATTTCTTATTGGTCCTCCGTACATTTTTATTGCGCTTATTCTCTTTGCTTCCAGTTCGATGGCCGCAACATGCGCGTTATCGATGCATTCCTGTGCCCAATCAATGTAAGCATTAGCTTGATCAAGCTGCTCGGGTGCTAGACTGTCCGCAAGAGAATCGATAAAGGACGTGAAGTCAGACAAGGCTTCGGATACGATTTGAGAAGTAGCATTAAGTTTCAAGACTAGCTCCTTGGTCTCAGATGCGCTCATTATTAACTCGGGATCTTCTTGGCGCTGCCCATAGGCTTTACACTGTTCCAGTAATGAATCTATTTTGTTACAATAAAGCGTGAGCAAACCTTTCTTTGAACTCAACCCTGTGGAGCCTACTATGATGAATGTTTGTCAAAGAGGAGAAAGGCACAGGAAAAATGAGAAATTCTTATTTTCAAAAATGTGCCTCTGATTTTTGACTACACAAACGGTTAAGAAGGCGATGGAAGAGGAACAATGAATCAAAATCCAATAAAATATGAAAGGAAAAGAAAAAAATGTGCAACTCCTTGGCGCAAACTTAATTCCTTCCACAATTGAATGGGAAAAGGTAAACCGGCCTGTTTCCTGTTCGAGTTCAGTAGAATGACGGCCGATGCACCTTTTACGAATGGTTCAGTGCCACGCGGTTGATTACAGTAAGTTTCACGGATCGAGACCAACGATTCCAATTCGTCACACTCGTAATCTCCACGATTTATTGGTGTAAAGCGCACAATCTCAAACTTGGGTAATTAAACGATTATATACCTTCAAAGTAATAAAATCGACCAACGAACGAAAAGAAACAATCTCCGACAAATAATGACCAAAAATTCCCAAAGAAAAAGGCATCGAATGAAGAGAATAAGAGAACGAGGATTCTGGGGAGATTCAGGAGATTCAGGATTCGAGTCACACCATCCAATTAAAGATAAATTTCAGGCGCATGGCGCACACTAAAGAAGGGGGAAAGCGGGCGCACGTCGGTCGCAGTTTCCCCCGCTTGAAGGCGAAGTGAGGCATTCAAGCACAAGGCGGAGTCGCGGGATTGCATGGAATTCCTTCTCGCTCTACTGTATCTATATATACCGTTTATTCTCTAAAAGATATACGTTAGTGATAACTTGAGCTTTAGCTGCATTTCTCATGCATTACCGCATTCCCATCTTGTCCTATCTCATGATTCACGAGGAACGGAAACTGTAGAATCGCGTGGGAACCGCGATATGCTTCCTTCGACCTCCTCGATCCAGAACCATGCTGTCTTGTCTCCCCTGATTCCGCCTCACATCTCCCTAGTAGCTCCTTGGCGCATCGTTGGTCTCAGCCCAAGTCCACTGCACTGGTCTCTCAGGATCTGGGAAACCAACTTCCATTATCCTTTGCTTGAGGTCGCTCTTCTTTGCTCGGTGGGATTCTCCTCTCGGTTCTTTCCCTGGTCTTGGGGAGGTCTATGGCTATCTAGGAGGGACTTGTTCTGCCAGTTCTTCGCCAGAGAGACGTTGCTGTCCCCCACAGTTCTAAGGGACGATAATTCCACCAGGACACGGTCAATTTTCGTTTGTCGCCTTCCACTGCTGTAGGTTACCTTCTGAGTCTCCCTTTTCGCGAAGAACGTGCTGCAGATTGCCAGATCGTGAGCCATAGCCAGGTCCTTCTCTCCCCCTGCTTTTCTCACTCCTATTCCTCTACCTCCGTGCACCTTTCCAGGCCTCTTCTGTCATTGCCGACGTGACAATTCAGATCACCTCTACAGTGAGGTAGCCACCTTCTAAAATCGATCTGATGGCATCGTCAAAGCTGAGATAGAATTCGTCCTTGTCACTTTCAGGGCATCCGGCTTGCGGTGCGTACACAGAGAGTATGTTCCAGTACCCTTCCTTTATGTCTATCCTCACAGCCATCACCACAGCGTTCCGCTTGGTGTCTTCATTTGGACTCAGCACCTTTCCATCGCGTCTCCTGAAGGCATAGCTCTAGATGTTCCTGCACGTCTCAGATCAGCAACCTCTCGGGACTCCCCAGTTAGCGATCCTACGTTCAGAGTCCCTATTCGAACTAGCTTCTTTGGCCGAGGCCGTTCTCTCCTCGGCAGCCCTCGCATACTGACCACAGAACTCGGGCGGGGGTTCAGCGCGTCACTTCCGGGTGACGTCCTAGCATTAACACTGGTTCTTTTGCGACTTTTGAACATGGTTGGTGTGACTTTGGTCTTCATCGGCCGGCCTGTCACCCTAGGCCTGACGCTGGTACTAAACCATTTTTTGCAGGGCATGATTCGAAGCCTCGACAGGGATGACTCGCGGTTTAACAGAGGTGCAGACATGAGTCTACACTCTTAACCACTCGGCCATCCCGCACCCGGCTTTATTCGTCATTCGGAATAGAGGGTGCACAGAAATCCACATCTCCTTAGGTGGCTATCTGGGCACATCGAAATGGGCAGCAGTTTTTTTTTGGGGGAGGTAATAATTCATGCACAGAACGTAGCCGCACCATCTACCGTAGTCCTCGTAGTTAGCGTATTTTCGACTCCTTAGGCCGATGTCAAACTTTAGGAATCATGTGAATGGCTAGTGCTGACTAGCGATTCGCTCGATTCGCAAAGTCTGACAACAGTCTCACGGCCAGGGTTAAGCGAGGTGTCGAGGAAGATGTTGAAATACGACCCCGTCTTCCCCAGCGGCTGAGGTCCTTGAAGTAACTCTCCTCACAAGGCGAAGTATGAAAAAGTTGTTTAACCCTCACCGAAATCTTTTCATAGGAGGAAACCCAGCTACTCC